GTGTGTTTGACGTCTTCAGCTGTGCACAGAGGCTTTCTTTTCCCCACCCTGGCTGTGCGAGTGCAGACGAGTCCAGCTCAGATGATGCTCCCAACTAAAAACAGCTGTCTCACGTGCACACACACAAGCGTGTACGTCCAAACGGGACATACGCAGCAGAGGTGGACTGATGTGTTCTGAAACACAAGCTCAGAATGTCTTTACGTTTACAAAGAAAATCCTGAATAAAGGCTAGAATTGAAACAGAAAGAGCATATTTACCCTAAACCTTGTACATCTCCCTGTTTCACCTCTTTGTAATTCCATGCCACCTTCCTCCCCAAAGGCACATATCTTCCCCCCTTATATATTCACCCTGCTTGTATACATTTTCTACCCTGTATTCTTTGCAGATGTATACGTTTGTATACACTGCGCCTGTCATTGTATGCCATTCATATCTATGTAGCATTCACTGTTTTATTGAAACTCTAGTCACCACTCAGCTGCTCTTCTCATCATCAACGCTCATTCTTCTTCTGCAGTTATAATGGTACAATTATAATCTTTCCATGTTCCCTTCCACCCTCTCTATGACTCACACCCCCATTTCACTCCAAACACCCATTCACTTTATACAGTAGAAGAAGACTTTTTCACACACACACAAAAAGAATGACATCAGTTGAAATAGGAGGTGTGTTGGTGTTGGAGAGCAGCCCACACAATTAATGATTACAATGACGACTAAGAGAAATGTCTGTAGTACAATTACTAAAAGGAAAAAATGCACTATTATGACTATGATAATTATTGCCTGTGAGAAATACTGTCCAATAAACAACAATGAAAATATGCCTGGGTGTTTTTTTGTCTGTTTTATGACTAATTTAACCATTTTTTGTTATAATAAAGGAAACAAGGTATGCAGATTAGATGGTAGTGGAGCTTTGTGACTGCATATCGCCCACCATCTTTAGACTGATGTCATGTTTTATGGATGAATGATAATTGTAGCTGTTTTGGTCATATCTTGAAAATAATCTTATGCACAGTTTCAAGCAATATTACAAAATGTTGAAGTATGTGTTGAAAATGACTCTCCGCTAATATCACATCAAATTTTAACTGAATACTTGCAGAACTGAGAGTTATTATTTTTCATTAGTTTAAGTTAGTAACAGCCCTCATGAACTGGAGTGACTTCAAAAGTTAATTAGGTGAAGACATAAAACCAATGACTATTGTAATTTCTTGACTATTGAGCACACCTAAATGTAAGCCACGCCCTCTAAATTTAAAATGAAAAAAAAAAAAAAACACAATTATATATATATATATATAAAGTACATATAAAGGCTGCACTTGTGTATAAGCTGTGGGTGTTCACGTTGGAATTATAAGATATTTATACACATTTTTTAACTTTTAATTAAATATATACAATAAATGTTTTTTTTTCTGAATAGTGACTGTAACATGGCTGGTAAAAAAAATTTAAAACACAGTAGCCTACCAGGAAGTCATTGATCGTTATCTTCTTCTTCCTCCTGTGCACTGAGCTTGTGCTGTCCTCTTCATCACGCAGCAGCCTTTCGAAACCCGTTGGAGACAGAGGATTATTGACCCTGCTCCTCTGTCAGGATCCACTGAGCTAAAGTTGCTCTTCACATGCGGCCAGCTTTGGTAAACAATTTCTCACCGCCAGTCATCCAAGCTGCCCACCGAGCTCGGAGTTCCACTTTAAATGCATAATTCACACTTATTTTGAGTGGCTGCAAATACTTCATTGGAAGAGAGAGGAGGAGAGAAAGTTTTTTTTTTTTTTTTTTTTTTTTTGGGGGGGGGGGGGGGGGGGGGGGGGGGGTGGGGAATACAAAGACCCCCCCCACCCCCCCGAAACCAAGTTTCATTGGTCCACTGTGACTTGTTCGGTAATTTCATTGGTCAGATTTTTTAAACCTTTATTTATGCAGGTAGTTTCATTGACTCACGAGGGACCCGCCCCCTAAGAGAAATGTTTATGTGAGCGCCTGGGTGTGATGTGGCTAAGTGTTTTGGCAGCATGAAGCTTGTTAGCCTGTCAAAAAAATAATAAAAAATCCATAAATTAGCTGCAGCGTTCTATAAGCCGCAATGTTTAAAGGCCTATTCGCACGGGATTACTTTTACCTAGGGACCACATGTAATAAATAAATTACTCCCCAACATCTGCTTTTTATGTGGCGCATTTGCACGGGATAACCAAACTCTGAGATTTAGTTGAAACTTACGGACATCTTCTGGTTATGATGTTAACACGCTGCGTTGTCACGAGTGGGCCGGTCCATATAAAGTTTTTAATGTGCGGGCCGGGCCGGTCTCAGGCTTTGATGTGGTTTTATGAATCAGCACAAAGAAAACTAAACAATGCACAATAAACAATTGTTAATCGATTTGTTGAGGAGGAGGCAGGTCTGACCGGTCAGTTTAAGAGGTAAAAAAAGCCACGTTAAACTCAGATGGACAACCTGTCATCGGCCATGAGCGTGAGTGGCCACGCGGCCACTGACCCACCGGTTGAAATGGACTTGCAACCTGTCCAGGGTGTCCCCTGCCTCTCGCACAGTGATGGCTGGACATGGGCACCAGTGACTCCCGCTACAGAAAAGGAAGAATCGGGTAAATATAACGGATGGATGGATCACGCCTGCGTCTCTGCACCTCCTGTCATCTGCGGTGAAGGAAGTAGCAGCATAAAAGCCAAAGCAAAAAAGAAAAATCCATAAAAATAAATAAATAAAGCCGAAGCAAGCAGCACACAGCTTGTTCTATATTTTTCCAAATGATTTTGCTTAAACAAAAATTAAAAATGCCTCATTACATATCCGATCCAGCGCATTTCTGTCCAAATCACAGAGATGCCTATTCACATTGGATTAGTATTATCACAGAACCTCGGAGTTCAGCAAAATATAGTAGGTAATGTACGGGAGAATTTTTACTTTACAAATTACTGACACACATACATTCACACGGGATTAACAACACAGACAATCTCCGTAATTATTACAAATAGCATGTGGTCCCTAGGTAAAACTAATCCCATGCGAATAGAGCTTAAGTGTGTGAAAAAAGTAGCGGCTTATAGTCTGGAAATTACGGTATTTTCTAAAAGTTTTATTAAAATCTGTTCAGTTGTTCATGAGATGTTTTGCTAACAGACAAATAACTTTGTGTCCATCAGTTACTGCTAGAGTTTTAAGTAACATCTCAGTGAGTGTGGAGTATGTGTTTTGAATGACTCTCAGCTACTACCACTAACCTTAACTCCATAGTTTTGACGGAATTATAACAATTTCTGGTTTGGAAGGTAATTTGGCTGTGGCAGCCATCATGAATTGGTTTGGCTCTAAAGGTCAATCAGTTGTAGATGTTCGTTATTATTTTTCTGCAAGTTTCGTTAAAAATTGTTAAGTAGGTCTTGCGAAAGTGTGTTTTTTAAAGCAAAAAAGTAAAAAAACAACAACAAAACAAACATATACACAGGTGCAAAAACATCATCATCCACCTTGGCTTTTCTGCAGCATGTGATGAGAGGCTGAACAAAATCACACAACCTAAAAAATACATAACTGCAGAACAGGCAAGGGAATGGTGAGGAAATGACGGATCTGCCAGGAAGCAACTAAACCAGGGATAGTTTATAAAGGACTTGCTGCAGAATGTTAGAAATCAGGACCAGAGGTCTAGTTGAAGCAAAAACCTGACTACAACAAACCAGAAAACTGACTGAGGGATAGCAAAAAGTACAACCAAGCCAAGATGATCCATGAAGTAGAACAAGGGTTCCAAACACCTCAAACCAGCAGATAGTACAAACTAAATTGGGAGAACAAAGAGTGTCAGAACATTTTAAGAAAGTTACCTGAGGGCTAAACTGATGAGCTAAACCGTTCTAAAGGAAAGCCCAGAGGTCATCCCTGGCACAGGATGAAGTTGCCAAACAACTTTTAGCTGCTGTTTTACTGATTTTAGTTTAACACCTCAGGATCAAGCACCTTCAGCATATTTTAGGAGCCATTATTCATCACTCAGCTCCCACAATGATTTTTTGTGGATTATGCCATTTTGAATCTCTTTTAATCTGGTGGCAAAGTTGGTAGTGCTGTTGCCGTTCAGTAAGAAGGTTGCCAGACTGAATCCCACACTCTCTGTGCATGTGTGGGTTTTCTCCAGGTAATCCAGTTTCCTCCCACAGACCCTAAATTGTCTCTAGGTGTGAGTGAGAGAGTGACTGGTTGTTTGTCTCGTTTGTCTCTATGTGTCCCTGTGATGGACTGGAGACCTGTCCAGGCCAGGGTGTCCCCTGCCTCTCGCCCAGTGACTGCTGCGTATGGGCGCCAGTGACCCCTATGACCCGAAAAGGAAAAGGCGAGTAAAAGATGATGTATGGATGGAGACATCAGTTTGTTATACATTTTTAACTTCAGAACTATTGACTTTACTGTGAAAACCACAGAGATTTACTGCATGTTGACAAGGTTAGTCCCATAATTTATTACAAATAAACAGGAGACAGACAAAGACATGTGGTAGAAATTCAATTCAGTTTATTTATATTGTGCCAAGTCACAACAGAAGGCATGAAGATGTGGTTCTCTTAGGAATGAGATCATCAGAGGTACAGCACAGGTTGAACAACTGGGAGATAAAGTTAGAGAGACCAGACTGAGATGGTTTGGACATGTCCAGAGGAGGGACAGTGGGTGTATTGGTAGATGGATGTTAGAAATACAGCTGCCAGAAAAAAGACAAAGAGGAGATACATGGATGCAGTTACATGGAGGTAGTTGGAGTGAGGACAGAGGATGCAGAGGACAGAGATGGAGGAGGATGACTCGCTGTGGAGACCCTGAAGAGGGAAAAGAAGAACATGCAAGGTGCTGCTCAATGATTTTCCAGTTTACCGCCTTCACAGCGTTACTATCAAGGAGGGGCGTGGTCGCAACAAAACAGAGGAAGTGACGTAGTTTGATCCTCAGGCTCCTCTGGTTGAGAGGAGAGTGCTTTAAAGGGGGAGGTGACGTGATCACGCCGAAATAGGCTCGTGAAGGGAGGGGTGCAAACAAACAAACGTTTACTCATTTTCACCGTTAAGAGCTCTGTGGTCGAGGCGCAGCAGGTAATCTCTTGTTTATGTTTGTCTTTTCTCACAGAAACGCTGTGTTGGGTTTATCAACAACAGGCGAATGTTCTAGACATTTTATTTCGTTTGCCAGATTTTATGCTAATGAGGCACGGCTGCGCGTGTTCAAAAGAACAGGCGGATGTGTTCGTTTTCTCGCTAAAGCGACAGTTGGTTTACAAAACGCTGTAACAATGAGCTAACGTCTGATGCGAGTCCCTCAGATAATGGTGAAAGTTTGTGGTGATCAGTTTGTCTCCGGGAATGTTGATTCAGACATTTAAAGTGCGCGCGCAGCCTAAATTATCCAACGACACTTCGCCTTATTGTTACTTTCTGGAGTGAAGTAAACTCGATTAAACACGGCTCACGGTCAGAGCAAACTTAGCAGAAAAACGGTTTTATATTTTTTAGGTGTAAGCCCGTAGTAAGTAAATGAAGGTTGAATGGGAAAAAAAAAAAAAGCTAGTAAGTCCGAGAGCTCGCACGCGCCTTCTCATTCTGCGCTCGCGCTCATTTTCTGCTCAAACGAGTAAAACCAGACAGACATCATTTTTAACAAGAGTGAAACATCGGTAGGTGCACAACTACACCTTTTATATTGTTTTTTTTTTTTTACTCCTCCCAAACTGTGAAGAATCTAAATCTCCTTGTAAATATCCCAAGTATTTTAAGCAGGTGTGCGTATCGTTTAATTAGAGCCGAATTTTAGGTTCAACCTTTTTGTCCAGGTTTTGTATCCGTAGTGGCAAGTTGGATTTAGATCCAAGTGAAGGCATCTGGAAAAGTTTTGACAATGTCTCTGTTATTGATAGACCTTAATTTACAAACAAACTAAACTCATGATTTAAAATGTCTTACAGGAGTCTTCCAGTCAAGACAGACGGCTCAAAACACCATTAAATTAGTTTAAGCTAGTCTTTTTGTCTTGTTTAACATCCACATTACTTGTTAAAGGGATCTTTGACTGCTTTCACATACTTGCCTTAATATGTTATTTTTCTATTCCACTAAAAGTTGTTGTTTAGGACACATCCATCCATTATCTTTACCTGCTTCGACCTTTTGGGTCACGGTGGTCACTAGTGCACATGTCCAGCAGTCACTGTGTGAGAGGCGGGGGACACCCTGGACAAGTCTCCAGTCCATCACAGGGACACATGGAGACGAACGAGACAACCAACCATTCACTGTCTCACTCACACCTAGAGACAATTTAGAGTTACCAATCAGCCTAACATGCATGTTTTTGGTCTGTGGGAGGAAACCGGAGTAAACCCACGCATGCACAGAGAGAACATGCAAACTCCACCCAGAAAGGACCCGGTGACCTTCTCTCCGAGAGGCGGCAGCTCTACCAACTGAGCCACTGTGCCACCTTTGGGACACATGAAAATTCCAAATTACTTTAAAAATTATATATGATTTACATTTTTCACCCAAGGACAGCACCATTATTTCACCAGCGCAATGCATTTTGGGACGATGACGTACATGGGTATTAGTGGAGACTCAAACACAAGGAGTCAAAGCTAAACGGTTGTAATATGTGACAATAAAACATTTTCTATTAATGTAGTACCTTTGCACAGTATATAGGTTGAAACAATCAAATGTGACCAACTTGTTTTACAACAAGCTGGTCACATTTGATTTAATGTATCGTTTACATGGGCACAGTCCGATCACGACGAGCGTTTACATGCAGCAGACTTTTATTCAGAGTAGAAGTACTGACATGCACAGAGTGGTAAACTTTCCTTAAAAAAAAACACAGTAGAAGTTATACTTCTGGGATGAACGTGAACAAACCTGAGCGCCCAAAATGGACCCGCGACAGGTTTTAATGACGGCGGAGACGTTACTGCACTCCCTGACTGAGCTACAGGTAATACAGATCATTTTGAGCTCTTTCAAAGGTTCTCGCAGAAATGTTGTCGCTCACTGATCAGTTTTACTTCCCCGACATATTAACATGTAGCCAGGTGGAAATACGTGAGGTAGACATTGGTCGTACATACGCAGTCAGGTCAGTTTTCCACAATTGGAATAAAATGATCAGATTAAATGTTTACATGCACACCGTTCAGATTATGAATCGGCATAAACCACCCCCCACCCCTCATGCGGATTACAAATTAATTTGGCTTGAGCTGCTGAACCAACTCAGAATAATCTGAATGGGGCGTTTACATGTTATTTTTATTCCGAATGGCCGTTTAATCCGATTACGGTACTTGCGTCCATGTAAACATCTAGCTAGTTGAGTCACAAGGACTCATTTTGAAGAGAGACTTGTTTGGGAGCCCTTGGTGGGGGTTAAGGGTCTTGCTCAAAGTCCCAGAGTGGGGCTAGTGGGGGTAGAGGTGGGTGTGGGTGTTCCACCTTTTCCACCCACATTTTGATGTCAGCACGGGGCGTCGAACCGGCAACCTTCTGATCACAGGCACACCTTCTCCAATCTCTGCGCCACCACTCCCCTTATATAAACTTAAACTTAACAGAGTTTGCACTGGAGCAACTTGTCTGTCATTTATCCAGAATGCATTGCAACAAAAACATAATGGTGACGTCCGTGTGTCATTAATTTAAAAAAGTAAAAAACGAAACAGCCTACAACATTTTTATGGTCTTGCTTTTACAGCTGAAGTAATCGTTTATCAATTAAAGTCTGTTGTACCAACTAGACACAGATCCTTTTAAAAAATGCTGCTGTTTTTACTTGAAGCAAACACTAACTTGCAGACTCAGTTCTTGGTTTTGAAACAAAAACGACAAAGAAAATAGACCAAACTAACAAGAAGTCGGGCTGTAAAGCCTACACTCATTAAATGTTTGCAGCACTATTGAACTTTAAACTGCGTCTGTGTCTCTTCAGGGAACTCAACGTGACCTTATTCATGGAAAGTGTTGCTTCTTTAACAATACTCTCCTAAACACTAACGCAGCGTTTAAATTGTGTAATTGTACATTCCCTGATGAGATATCGTAAATAAAGTTTTTTACCAGACGTAACCAAGCGCATATAATTTTATAGTCAGAGTCAGAGTTTCTTTATTGTCATTCGCACCTCATGTGGTACATGTGGTGGAGCGAAATTATGTACACAGGGTCCCAGTTACATCCAACAATAAAATGTATAAGAAAAACAGTAATAACATCTAAGATATGAACTAAGAAAAACATCAACTAAATATAAACTAAGCACTCATAACATAAAACATTGAACATCAGCACAAACATGAACATGAGTCTGTGAGCAGATGTGCACGCATGAACACATCAACATTGAAACAGATCAGCAGCAACATGAAACAGATCAGCAGCAACATGATATGGTTTTTCACAGTGATTATTCTAGGTAGAGATTCATGAGTCTAACAGCCTCAGGGTAGAAGCTGTTCCTCAGTCTAGTGGTTCTACACTTAATGCTCCTCAACCTCCTGCCTGAGGGGAGTGGGGCAAAAAGTGTGTGTGCTGGGTGAGTGGGGTCCTTCATGATGCAGGTGGCCCTCTTCCCGCATCTAGAGGTGTAGATGTCTGTGATGGTGGGAGGCTGATTCCGACAGATTTCTGTGCAGCCTTCACCACTCTCTGCAAAGCTTTTCTTTCTGCAGCTGTGCAGCCTCCATGCCACACGTTGATGCTGGAGCACAGGATGCTCTCCACTGCACACCTGTAGAAGGAGGTGAGGACTGAGCTTCCCAGACCAGCTCGCCTCAGCCGTCTGAGGAAGTTGAGTCTCTGATGAACTTTCTTGATCAGGCTGGTGGTGTTGTTGCTCCAGCTGAGGTTGTCATTCATGTGTACACCCAAGTACTTGTAGCTGGAGACCACTTCCACCGCAGATCCTCTTATGTTCAGGGGGGTGTCGATGTTTTTGTTCCTTCTGAAGTCCACAATAGGACTGTTTATCCTGTATATACTGTGTATAGGACTGGTTTCTATGAATAAGTATTTTTAAAAGTTTTTTATCTTATCCTTTTTGTGCATTAAAAGACTAAAGCCTGAATTTTAGGATCACAGAATTTTTTTTTTTCTTGCTGCTGCAGGATACAAATTATTTGACAAGGGCTTTAGAGGAACAAGTTTTGAACAAATGCCCTGGTAAATAAAATGCAACACTTTAATAGAAGACATTTTTACAGTGTTGTGGCCTTTCAAGTCACGTGTCTTAAGGACCATCTTCACTGCCCCCCCTCATCAAGATGGAGGCGCTTCATTCTCTCATGCCTGCTCTCTCTGAGATGAGAGGCCAGTGCCATGTGGGATCATCTGTGAAAGGACGGATCTGGCAGGAGAACTGAGGCCCTTTCAGGGTTCTGTTGAAGCAGGGAGCAGAGAACCGAGGGGTGACGGGGGTGGGGGGTATCTGGTGTATGGAGAGAAATGAAGAGGGGAATGAGCTGTGTGCCAGACACTCCACGTTGTCAGTGTGTGTACTAACAGATTGATTTTCCCTTCTGCATTCACATCTTCTGTCATTAAATTAGCAACAAAACCATAATAGTAATGAGCGTTGCATTCTTTGAAGAAAGTTGTATTGCCTGCTAAGACTAAGATCATTGTGTGTTAAAAGAAATCACAGAGTTGGAGCTGTTTTCGTCAAACCTTAAAGAAAACATTTTGTGCAGTCTTATTCAGTTCTGTAAGATGGTACACCCAGTGTGTGTTGAAATGACTCCCAGCTCCCACTTCCAAGTTTTAGCTCGGTATCTGTAAAACAGAGTTGTAGTCATTTGTGTTTATCGACTGTAGTGGACCGAACCGACTCTGAATGTTAATCAGGTTTAGATGTTAGAATTGTTACTTTCTGCAAGTTTCATTACAATAGAACCAGTGGTCTGTGAGATACCACATGCACACACGTGCAACATTATCACCTGCCAGGAAAAGGCAAAGGCAGGTGATAACTTGGAATTTAGAAAATATTTTTTATTTTGTCATAAGTCTAAAATCTGTAGAGCTTTTTCATTTTTACCACTGCGTGGCCTATAGATGCAGCCCGCCCTGGTGCTCCTTTGATATAAAATGGTCTTCTTTTGCTCTTCCTAGATTCAGATCTTTAGTCCATATACAGAGTGGCATTATTAGAACTGCTAGGCAGGACTATTCAGCTGGCAGCCCAGGGGTCAAATCAGGCCCACAGGTTGGCCCACCAATGGGCTCATTTTTAAATAAAACTAAATTTTAAACCGTAAAAGAAACAAACTTAATGACAATAACTGCTGGCTGTCCGGCCCCTGAGCTCATGGTTTTCAGTAACCGTGGCCCATCTGATAATAGTTGAATAGCCCTGTGCTACAGGATTTCACTTCCTGCCTAGTCAAACAAATGCAGGATTTTTATAGGGATGTTTTGATCTTATTAAAGTGGGGGTAAAAAAAAGTGTTTTAAAATTAACAACAATAACATTTTAGCTATTGACTTGACATTGTTGAGTTATTTAGGCAAACGTCATGAGATTGTCTCATCTTGGAAGATGGTTTGTATTTGTTTACCTACACTGACTAAGGCCAGTCTAATGTAGATCATACATGTGACCTAAGCTTCCATGTAGTTTGTGGTGGATTGAATCAATGCTTCGTTTACATTGAGTATGTACCCACATTTCAAAATTGCAAATTGATTTGTATAGAAAACTACTGGAGTAAACATTTACAAACTGTACCATTTAAGATGATCTTTTTGGGTTTGATTTCCTACTATGGCTGTTGCCGATGCCAATATTGGGAGGGGGAGGTGACTGCCGATAACGGATATTATGGCTGAAAATTTTTTAGCTTTGTCCACCCCCAAGAATTTAAGAAAACAGTGAGTGGAGCGGGACTTGTTTATTTAGCGCAGCTGTTAGCAACCATGAAGCTAAGCTGATCAGATCCACACTATACGTAGTCCCACAGCAGGTTTACAAGTGGTGCGCTGGTTATTAAAAGTTGTCCTAATGATTGCACAATCATGTCTGGTTTCAGCATTTTGGGGGTGAAAATTAGAAGTGATTATATTGGCTGATAATGTGATCATTATCAGCCAATACTGATAGGTCCCCAAACGTCTATATCGGACTAAAATATCAGCCCTACCTATATATCGGTCAGGTTTTAGTTTAGACATATAGTCTGATGTAATAGGAATGTTAAATATTTGAAAAATGGTTGAGGACGTTTGGTAAAAATTGCCATGCCTGCTGTGGATCAGAAGCAGAATTAACTGTTTTTAGTGCTTCGGGATTTATTGTGACTGCAACATTCCTCTGCCAAGTTCAAATACCAAAGTGTCATCACACAAAAACTAATGAGCTGCCTCCTGGTTGTGGAAATTAAACTGTTGGATGTGCAATGATACAGCGGTGGTGGGATGCATCACAAACAATGATGAGTCCAGCTACAGGCAGGAGGCGGAACACCTGGAGAGCTGGTGCAAAGACAATAACCTTCACATCAATGTGAAGAAGACAAAGGAGATGATCGTGGACTTCAGAAGGAACAAAAACACCTACATCCCCCTGAACATAAGAGGATCTGCGGTGGAAGTGGTCTCCAGCTACAAGTACTTTGGTGTACACCTGAATGACAACCTCAGCTGGAGCAACAACACCACCAGCCTGATCAAGAAAGCTCATCAGAGACTCTACTTCCTCAGGCGGCTGAGACGAGCTGGTCTGGAAGCTCAGTCCTCACCTCCTTCTACAGGTGTGCAGTGGAGAGCATCCTGTGCTCCAGCATCGTGTGGCATGGAGGCTGCACAGCTGCAGAAAGAAAAGCTTTGCAGAGAGTGGTGAAGGCTGCACAGAAGTCTGTTGGAGTCAATCTCCCTACCATCACAGACATCTACACCTCCAGATGCAGGAAGAGAGCCACCTGCATCATGAAGGACCACACTCACCCAGCACACACACTTTTTGCCCCACTCCCCTCAGGAAGGAGGTTGAGGAGCATTAAGTGTAGAACCACAAGACTGAGGAACAGCTTCTACCCTGAAGCTGTTAGACATGAATCTCTAACTAGAATCACTGTGAAAAGTCACATCATGTTGCTGATGATCTGTTTCAATGTTGCTGCTGATCTGTTTTCATGTTGCTGCTGATCTGTTTCAATGTCGCTGCTGATCTGTTTCAATGTTGGTGTGTTCATGCGTGCTCATCTGCTTACACAGACTCGTGTTCAGGTTTGTGCTGATGTTCGACGTGATGTTATGTTATGAGTGCTTAGTGTATATTTAGCTGATGTTTTTCTTAGTTCATATCTTAGATGTTATCATTGTTTTTCTTTTATATTTTACTGTTTGCTGTAACTGGGACCCTGTGTACATAATTTTGCTCCACCACATGTACCACATGAGGTGCGAATGACAATAAAGAATCTCTGACTCTGATGTAAAAGGAACTAAAGTAATTTGCATTAATCTGTATTCTTTTGTAAATTACTAGTTCAAAAAAGCACCAATATTAATGTTTTGCATATTTGTCAACTTGTGTTTTCATAGAAATGGCGGAGGCTCACCAGGCTGTGGCGTTCCAGTTCACCATAACACCAGAGGGTATTGACCTGCAGCTGTCTTATCAGGCCCTGAACCAGATCTACCTCTCTGGAGTTAGATCCTGGAAGAAACGAGTCAGCCGCCTCAAGGTGAGGAAGGAAAGGGCACTGTGTCCACATCTTTAAATTTAAGTAACTCATGTTGGTTTTACACCATACAACTTTATGTATTTTTGAATGTATGATTTCTTTGTGTGGGACCCAGCAGTGATGGAGGTGATTATATTTTCAGACTGACTGTACATCTTTTTTTTGTGAACACATGTTCACAACACAACAAATTTTAGCTTAGTCTTTGTTAGTTACTTTTGCGTGAGGCCAGTTTTCACTCATGTTCTTGTAGATGAACAGATGCTTAGATATATTCATACATTAAAACGGGTTCACTCATCTTTCTGGACTGGATAAAACGTGCATTGAATTTAACAGAAATGTGGACGTGAGACGTTAATTATCTTTGACCCATCAAAATGAATGCGGTCATTTATTTTACAGAATCAAAGTTTAACATCAAACATTTACATTAATTTGGCAGAATATGAAAACAACAACATAATTAACCAGTTTTACAACCAGGAAACCATACGGCCATGGTTTTCCGTTGCTTCACCACAGACATTAATGAAAACATCTGGATTAATTTTCTAGCAGAAAGGAGAGTTTAAAGATGGAAAATTGAGATTTATCTTACAGAGAGATGTGTGAGGGAATTTATCTGTTTTAACCAGAACGTGCACGCTCCTTCGGAACTCAGCTTGTCCCAAACAGTACACTTTTGGTGAAGGTCGACTTTTACCTTTTCTGAAGATAGATCAGTTCCGGCGTGGAGTCTCACTTCCAACCACTGTTCAGCGTCTCAGTGAGAACAGCCAAATACCTAGAGAGCCGTGCGAGGTTATCCAAACAGAAGTTATAATTCCCAAAATCATCTCTGGTTCAGCTTGTTTGGTTTAGCAGCATCCATGAATGCCTGCGGTTGCATTCACGGACTCCCAAAACTCTCTGCACTCTGGATTCCAAAACTCTTGAACTCTACTGGAACTCTACTGTTGAACTGGGAAGTTGCCACATTTAAACGGGCTATACTTCCGGTTCATTTGAGAGCTTTTTGATTGGTGGATGGACCAGAACAGAGGTGTGGTTTGTGATGTAAGGTGTTATGGAAAGTCAAGGATTGTTTAAGAACAGACAGAAAGATATCATGGAAAAACCAGACTTCGTGGTGCCACCTCTCCTGTATCTTGCTGTAAAAGTTAAACATGACATTTCTTTTCAGTAAACTTTCTAGTTGACCGAAGCTTGAACTTTAACACCCTTACAACTTTGCTCACTTTCAAAGCAGACGATCAAGAAATTGAATCATTACTCTGTAATGTAATCTAACTTGATTTCACTTTGAATTGAGGACTAAAAATCATTACTACTGTTTAAGTAAATAAAAATGAGTAGTTCACTTCAACATGTAAACATTGTTTGAACTAACACAATTTGATTATCAAACATTTGTAAAATAGTAATGATCATAGAGAATTGTCTTTTCCACTTGATTAATTCAAGAAAGAAAGTCTCAGGATGGGTCAAACTGTATTTCTGGATTCAAATCAATGAAATGACAGTTTCTGTCCATCTGGTCAGTTTTGACATCAGGCTTAGTCCACTACATTCTTCTTTTTTTTGTATTACAGCGGCTGTAAGAGAGACATCAGTGTTTAGCTTCAACTACTCAATATCAAAGACCGAATCTGACAAATGGCTGTTTCTTAAGGTTGAAAAACTTTGACTATGGCTACGTTTACATTAGTGCCCAACCGGTCTAGAAATTTTGACTATCACCAATACTGATATTGGGTGGGGAAGGCACCCGCTAATAAGTGATATATCCATCCATCCATTTTCTTCTGCTTATCCGGGGTTGGGTCGCTGGGGTAGCAGCCTAAGTAGGGAAGCCCAGACTTCCCTCTCCCCAGCCACTTGGGCCAGCTCCTCCGGGAGAATCCCGAGGCGTTCCCAGGCTAGCCGAGAAACATAGTCCCTCCAGCGTGTCCTGGGTCTTCCTCTGGGTCTCCTCCCGGTGGGACGTGTCCGGAACACCTCACCAGGGAGGCGTCCAGGAGGCATCCTAAACAGATGCCCGAACCACCTCAACTGGCTCCTCTCGACGTGGAGAAGCAGCGGCTCTACTCCGAGTCCCTCCCGGATGATCGAGCTTCTCACCCTATCTCTAAGGGAGAGCCCAGACACCCTGCAGAGAAAACTCATTTCGGCCGCTTGTATCAGAGATCTCGTTCTTTCGGTCACAACCCAAAGCTCATGACCATAGATAAGGGTAGGAGCGTAGATCGATCGGTCAATTGAGAGCTTCACCTTTTGACTCAGCTCTCTATTCACCACAACAGACCTGTAAAGTGCCCGCTTCACTGCAGACGCTGCATCTATCCGCCTATCGATCTCGCGCTCCATTTTTCCCTCATTCGTGAACAAGATCCCAAGATATTTGAACTTCTCTACTTGGGGCAGGACCTCCACCCTGACCCGGAGAGGGCACTCTACCCTTTTCCGGCTCAAGACCATGGCCTCGGATTTGGAGGAACTGATCTTCATCCCGTCCATGTCGCACTCGGCTGCAAACCGCTCCAGCGAATGCTGTAGATCACGATCTGATGAAGCCAATAGGACCACATCATCTGCAAAAAGCAGGGATGCAATCCTAAGGCCACCAAAACGGATCCCCTCAACACCTTGGCTGCGCCTAGAAATTCTGTCCATAAGTTATGAACAGAATCGTGACAAAGGGCAACCTTGGAAGAGTTCAACTCTCACCGGGAGCAAGCCCGACTTACTGCCGGCAATGCAGACCAGGCTCTGACACCGGTCATACAGGGACCTAACAGCCCATATCAAAGGACCCGGTACCCCATCCTCCCAGAGTACCCCCCACAGGGTTCCCCGAGGGAACACCTTCTCCAAGTCCACAAAGCACATGTAGACCGGTTGGGCAAACTCTCATGCACCCTCCAGGACCCTGCTGAGAGTGTAGAGCTGGTCCAGTGTTCCTCGACCAGGACGAAAACTGCACTGCTCCTCCTGAATCCGAGGTTCGACTCTCCGATGAACCCTCCTCCCCAGAACCCCCGAATAGACCTTACCAGGGAGGCTTAAGAGCGTGATCCCCCTGTAGTTGGAACACACTCTACGGTCCCCTTTTTGAATGGGGTGACCACCACCACCCCGGTCTGCCAATCCAGGGGAACTTCCCCCAATGTCCACGCAATATTAGTCACGTAAGCCAACACAACCCTATAACATCCAGAGCCTTAAGGAACCCCGGGCGACTCTCTGGGGCCTTGCCACCGAGGAGGTTTTTAACCACCTCGGTGACCTCGGCACCAGAGATTAGAAGGCCCGACCCAGAGTCCCCAGGCTCCGCTTCCTCAGTGGAAGGTGTGCCGGTGGGATTGAGGAGGTCTTCAAAGCATTCTGCCCCTCCGACCCACGATATCCCGAGTTGAGGTCAGCAGCACACCACCCCCACTATAAACAGTGTTGGTGGCGTACCATTTTCCCCCCACCCAAGACGCCGGATGGTGGACCAGAATCGCCTCGGAAGCCATGCGGAAGTCATTCTCCATGGTCTCTCTGAACTCCTCCCATGCCTGAGTTTTTGCCTCAACGACCAACCGAGCCACATGTCTCTTAGACTGCCGGTACCCATCAACTGTTTCTGGGGTCCCACAGGCCAAAAAGGCCCGATAGGACTCCTTCTTCAGCCTGACGGCATCCCTCACTGTCGGTGTCCACGATCGTGTTCGAGGGTTGCCGCCGCGACAGGCACTGACAACCTTGCGGCTGCAGCTCCTGTAAGCCGCCTCAACAATAGAGGCACGGAACATGGCCCACTCGGACTCAATGTCCCCCACCTTACCCAGAACATGTTCGAAGTTCTCCCGGAAGTGGGAGTTAAAGCTCCGTCTCACAGGAAACTCTGCCAGACGTTCCCAGCAAACCCTCACAATACATTTGGCCTGCCAGGTCTGACCGGCGTCCTCCCCCACCATCGGAGCCAACTCACTAGGGCTGCAACTAACGATTATTTCAATAATCGATTCATCGGTCTATTTATTTTTTCGATTAATCGATGGATCGGCAAAAAACCCCACAACGTTTTAATTTCCACCCCTTTATTCCAAAATTGAACATTTGACTGACATAGCAATTCACACAAAAAACAGGTTGCTATTTTACTATTCTGTTAGTAAAATATTGAATAATAAAAAATAAAAGTTAGTCAAATAGCTTAAAAAAATAAATGTACACAAAAATATATACAAATGTATCTTTATACCTGCACAATATGTAGCTACTTTGTAAAATGTGTCATTGAGGGAAGAGTGTAACCTGGATTAAAAGTGTGGATCATTGTAACCTGGATTAAAAGTGTGGATTATTGTAGTGAAGCCTTCGTTTTCAACCATCGACGGAGGCCTCATGTCAGTGACGATCATTTAAGGATGTTATCAGTGAAGACAGCTGCTGCTGTGGTGTCCATGATGTCTGTCCATCATGAAGGATGTTGTTGTTTGTTGTTGTTTTCTGGAATGAGACAGTAAATATGTATTATATCATAATTTACAGCAACTCAAGAAATGCCTTGTTTCACTTACAGCGTTAGGTTCAGGCCAAAGTAGCTAAAAGAGCAATTAAACACACAAACGCACGCACGCACACACGTATATAAAATACTTAATTACACACATTTGAGTAGATGTAATAAATTACTTTAATTCCTGTTTAAATGCAATTCATCCTGCCATACGTGCAGTGTCTTCAGACTTTGCCAACAAATTAAAAGTTGAAGCTTAATCATTAAATTATTATCTTTGTGTTAGATTTATTTATAAATCACATTTAAACACTGTTTGTTCCAATTAAATTAAATAAAAAGTAACACACACGTTCTCTATCACCGTCATTAATCAGCAAACAAACAAACAAACAGCAGCTTCAGCTACAGACAGACTGACGTTACGTTTTCTCTCTTGAAACAGAACAATGTGTTAAATTGTAGAGACTCACCTGCAACACGAGTTGGG